ATGGATGTGCTCTACTGGACTCTTACTTCACATACCAAATTTCAAGGCAATCCATTAAGAAAGACCTGAGATATAACATCTCCAATTTTGTATTTAGTTTCCTTCCCCCCCTTTTTTTTTTTTTGTCACCAGAAGTACATAAAATTTATTTGATAGAAAAACATACTTAACTGTTATGGATTGTTTTCAAATTTGAAACACTGATGGATCTTTTCAACCTACAATGAGGAGTCCCATTTGGTGTAACTGTAAGCCATATGTACAAAAACTACTCAAATTTGACAAATGTTTGCACATGCCTATGCAAAAACTCATATGAGCTGTTGGCCTAATATTTTTACTGCAGCTTCACCTAAGAGTAAAAGTGGACCATTTTTAGTTTTTTTGTCATTAAGCTTAAAGATGGCTGATTTAGAGCATCAAAACTATAAGGTAAAAGAATGTGCAGATACATAAGTATTGGTTAGGCCAAGCAAACTAATTTAGCCATTTCTAGCTCAAGTTTTCAAAAGAATCACACCGGTGGATGATTGTTATTGATTATTCATTGCCAACTGTTCAGCACGTGTAAAACCTTTATTCTTTTTATTCAATATGAGAATCTTCATAAAAGTATTAAGGTAACTTCTGTAATATCAGAAGTAGTATAATATTAGAAACTTGATAACCTTCCTTTTTTTAGCACCAGCAGCGTCAACTAAGGTTTCTTTTACAGTACTGACTATTACTTCGTGTCACAGTCCCTGTGGCCTTTTCAAACTGGAGGTTAAGCATTTGTTGCATATTGACTACTGTAGAAATTTGTACTTTGTAGCATCCAAATCTATAAATATTGATTGCTGAAATTTTGTACATGCATTTTTTAGCACATGAGAATGTTCCTTTTCTATTTACTTTTCAGACTGTCTGATACTGTTTTGCTGTACTTTTTCTGTTTGCATAAGACTTAACTGACCTATCTATGCTCATAAGTAGGATGGGAATGGTTTCAATTTCAGCCAATTAAAGAAGTTATATCTGTCTAGTTTACTACCAGTAGCAGAATCATATGAAAACAGGTGTCTTTAATGTTCTCACAGTTTTATATGACAGTGTTCATGTCTTATTTAATAATTAATTTTAATAACTATTTTTCATATGACAATTCAGGTATGATAAAGTCATATTATATGACAACTACGGTTTGTTCTTTAGAAGCAACAGGAGTCTCAGTTTTGGTGTTTTTAAAGTAAAAGTTGCATACTTAAATGCAAATAATTTTTTTGTGTTCTATAGGACCAGTAACTGTTTCACCTGACATCCACAATGTCTTCTGAAGTAGTAGCTATTTTTTACATGAAAATTACATTACAAACTACAGTTTCAAGTCATAATTTTAGAATTATTAGTGAACAGTTGGTGCTTCTTTCATGTTACAAACAATACATTTTGTAGTAACCATGGTGTATTTATTTGCAGAAAGAGTAATTTTGCATGAGCACCATGGTGTGTTTTTATGTATTAGCATCAACCTTCTATATTAATTTGGATGTTTTGGCAACATTTAAGGTGTCTATTAGTACCAGCACTATTTCAAATGGCATGCTCAGATTTTCTCTTGAAACTTAGTTATGAAACTTGAATGCTGAAAACAATAATTGTAAGAGAGACAATATAATGCTTGTAAAATTGTTGAAGGTACTCATTCTTTTTTCTTTTTAAGATTCATAATTAGGAAGTTGTTGAAATATCACTTCATTTTTATTTGATTTGTAAAAATTTACCCCAGATTAACTAATTAATATGACTACATTATTCTACAGCTTAATTCTTAGTATTATTTTCTCTAGAGAAAAGAAGCAGAAAATAGAAAGTATCAAAAAGAATATCAGAGATGCAATCCTGGTAAGTTAAGTATGCTAAACAAATTTTAAAAGTACAAGTTATTCAAGGTCAGTATATTATTATTATTGTCATATAAATGAAAGGGTTCTATAGAGTTCATCTTACTGAGAAGTGTTTTAGAGAAATATGCAAAAAATCAACTAATAACTAAGTAACTTCACTAATCTAATTTCAATTAATATACTTGTAAGTTATTCAAATGTAGTCATTTTCAATTGTATATTTAAAAAAAGCCAGTTACACATAGACATATTGAAGTTTCTAAATATGTATGTTTTAGGAAAATCTAAACCCGCAATTTGAAATTTTGTGCCTTTATCTTTGGGAATAGCCTATAAAAAGGACTGGATTCAAGGTTAAATAAAATATATTAATCAAAACCCTGAGTGAAATAAGTGGGCTTACAGTTTATAGTGATCTTTCTTTACACATATATGAATATATGTGTGTGTGTGTGCATTACAGTTTTGTAGTGTAATTAATAAATGTATTAAACAAGAAATTAAATTGAATCAAACTTAATGGTTTGTTTTACAAAATCTAATAATTATAATTAAACCTAAGTCATAGAAACATTTTAGTAATAGACTTGTCATCTAAATTACAGCCAAAATTTACATCAGTGGTGTGATTGTAGCTTTAAATATGCACAGTGAATTACACACTCTCACACACACACACACACACACAAAGAAAGTAACGTAAAATTAAAATATGGGCAAAATTGGAGTGAATATTGTGTTATTTAAGGCTTATGAATGTTTCAACATTGTAAGTAAAATCACATTTTATTTCATTTTAAGTCTTCATTTAAATTTTTCAAGAGAGCCCATCATAATTCCTAAAACAAAAATTCTGTCCATGAACATTTTATAAAGTCCTTTTATTTGTAACTCCTTGTAAGACTGAGACAGAAGTACTTTTATAATGATTATGAAGTGCTGAAAATGTACAAACTGTTATATTACATTTTATAGCATGTTCAGACTTCTGTGTATTAACACACAACTTCCTTCAATCAAGAACAAACTGGATAAAAGACTTGTTAGACATAACTTTGTTCAAGGCACTATTTTACGAGTTTGTTTTCGGTGTTTTATTAGTTCCCATATAAGAATTTTTCCCATTTCTAAGGCTCCATTGTATTAAGCCTAATAAAACAACTGTTTATGTATAGATATTTAAATACTTTTTGTTCTCGTATTTTGAATTTATTCATTAATACTTGTCGCACATTTTCTAAAATAAAAAGAAACTATAAGCCTTGATTAAATTAGCTATTGAACAAAGTCAGATGAGACTCGCAAAGTTTCACAGATATTGATATGGTTATACTGATTGATTTTAATGTATTGAATTCTTTGAATGAAGGGCACCTATAATCTTATGCTTTGTAGACAATATCAGATGCCATGAGCACACTAGTTCCTCCTGTACCTTTAGAGAAGGCAGAGAACCAGTGGCGTGTTGACTATATGCAGGATGTTGCAAGTTCCGTGAACTTTGACTATCCATTGGTGAGTATATGGTTACTTCACTGCATTATTTGAAGAAACACAGGAAGTTGAGATATATGGCGATTTATGTTGGTTTTTTCCTTACTCTTTTTTTTAAATATGGATAGATGAATATGCAACTAATATTTAACAATGTAATATGATAAAAAGACATTAGAGATTTGTATGTGGATTAAACATGCATTATAAGAACAGTATTTCAGGTTCTTTGGTGCCCTTGGAACTTCTATTTCTGCCATTGAACCTGCTCAGTCTGATGGTCATGTGTATGCACTTTTGTCCAACATATAATTCCTGTTGTAACAAGAGTCTGTCAAAAAATGTATGGTCAATCTCGGACAGCACATTTTGACAAACTTTCAGCATATCCTTCTCTGAATGTAATTGTTAGTTTCCATGACAACATTTAATTAAGTAGACAAATACACTTAGATTCATGGAGCTGAATTGTCTGACTTCATAAGTATGTGGACAAATGTGATTGCTATGATTCTAGTTTCATTTGTCATCTTTCTCATGAAAACATCCATTGATCTTCCACCAAGGCTGGAAGATGTAAATTTTAAACATATGAGCTTTTGTAAACTTCCATGTTTATTATGTTGCTAATGGTACAAGGAAACATGTTTGGCTTCATAGCATTGGCTTTTGTGGTCAGAGGGTTCTCTTTCATAACCACTGTTTTTATTCTTTGGATGAAGACATTGGCTCTAAAAGTATGGTTTTGGAACTTGTTGTTTCCTAGATGCTGTGCTCTATAAATTACCCTACTTCTAGAAAAACATTGAAATCTTCTCTCTTCTTTAAAATGTTGTGCTTTTTGGACCTTCATTGCTTAAATATTTTGCTATAGGAATATGTTTCTTAAAAAGGGGCTGTGACATATTCCTCCTGCTATAAGGTTTTTATACTATCAAATGGTTACTCATACACTGTGAAGCAAACATGCATATACTGAACATGATACCTGGCACAACATGACTCACATCTATAGCAATTCCCATTATATTAGAATTTGCAAATTGTTATTATAAAGTGTGATTAACTCTTGTTAATTTGTAGTTGATTGAAAAAGTATTTTATGAATAAACTTGCAAAGAAAAATGTTTATGATAAATATTTTTGATAATGATATAATGTGAAAATATGATGTCAGTTTTACGAGCAAGGAGAATTTGGTTCTTAATGTATACATTAAATATTAAAACACTTTATAATGTATAGTCACTTTGAAGTCTACTTGATATTTGAACAATTAAGAGACAAATTTCTAGCTGAATGCTATATTTTATACTTTGATCAGATATATTTCCATAGCGATTCCTACCTGTCGTACTCCCAAAGATCAAACTAATAATTTTCTTAAGACAACATTAATATAAAAAAGTGGGTGTAGTGCATAAAATTGTTTTGGAAATAGGTCACATGTTAAGAGCGTACACTCGATCTGACTGTTGTCATCATTCATTACATAAGATGGTACAGTATGGAATGGTTTATACCAACCTTGCTGAGCTGAGTAGACATTTCCCAAATAACTTTTTGTCTTACGAACTATTCTTTGAGATAGGGAATTTATGTTAAACACAAATCGTGAATTTTATGCTGTTTCAGTATGACAACTTCAATTTTGAAATTATTTCCTAGGAAACATAATTTTTAGTATTATGCTTTTTTGCTTTAGCCTTTTATAAGTAGTTTCTCGTAGCTCTTTTTTACCATCAGATTCTCAGTTGTGAGGAAGTCCAACAAAATATTACTTTTAAATTATTCCAATTATGACTGGTGTCCAACTTTCAGATGTTGAGTGTGCACTTGCAAATTTGAGTATGAAATATTGCTCTTATTCTGTCAAAATGGTTTTTTGCTTTAAAATATTTTAGAATTGATATTATAGCATTACATAACATTTATTTTGTGTATTTCACAAAGATAAATGATAAACAAAAGGTTTAAACTTTCATTTCTGCACTACTCTGAGGAATCTTACTTGTAAACAACATAATTATGTTTTTTTTATAATTTTTTGCTCATTTGATAATATAGGCTTATGTTTGCAAAGAAACTATTATTCCTTGGAAATATGATGATCCATGACTTGTTTTTCAAGTCTTTTTTTTTATATCAATGGTTTTATTACTCCAACCCATTGTTGCCATTCTTTGACAATATCACAGCATATGGTCTAAACCAGTGTTTCTTAATCTGTGGTCCGCAAGGGTACTCCAGGGGGTCCACAAATCATGTCTGAAATTTCACAGAAATATTTTAAAACTATGATGTATAGAATAAAAAATATTTTTCATAAAATTAAATTTATATGAATTAAAACATTTAATTTTGAATACAGCTTTCCATGTGCATGGAATATTTTTTCAAAACAAAAAAAATATTGATCGTTTAAGGTCTGCAAAAAGTTTTAAATGAACCCTTTCACATTGGGCAGGTCAAAGTGTGCATGTGATAACCTTTTACAGAGTTACATTCAATATTTAATTAAACTATTTTATAATCAATGTATATGGATGAACTTGGCATTAATGTAAGTTACTTATTATAAACTCGGGCAAAAAATAATTTTTATAACCTTCAACCTTATTTATTTATGAAGCCATAAACTAGAAAATCAGACCCACTTGCCATGCCCACCTGTATTATCCTGTATTTCCCAAATTACCAATAGTTATCTCTGATGTTTTATACTATATTATTTACAACCAATAAAATGACAAAGTTTTAATTTATCAAATGACATATTATATCACATTGTTTCTTGTAAAGGGAAATGTCTGTTTCATCATTCAATTTCAATTTTTTTTCTCACAGGAATCACATTGACGAGATAGCTAAATTTTTGAAAGGCTCTTATAGCATATTTAGAAAGCCAGGAAAATTATGATAGTTATAGGACATTGTCTGCTTTTTGCATGTGTGCATTATATAGTTAAATAAAAATTATTTATTGTAGTAGTACTGTTGATATAAAAAAGCTTAAGTTTCGTCAACAGCATAAAAAAAGGAGACCAAGGTAAGTACTATATTTATCATTTTTCATGTGTATTATTTATTTATTATTATAAAAGAAACTAAATGTAAAAATTAGAAACTTATTAGGTAAGATAATGAAAAAAAAATAATTTTTTTTTGATAAGGTATGCTTATGAGAAGCTTGTATGTTGTGTAATTTGATACAGTAACATGAGCTGCATGTTTACTGAGTGCTTTACAACTTTTGTGGTGGGATCATTAGTTAGACATGGTTAAAATTTCAATAAAACAATACAAGTAAGTATAAAAAGATGTATACTGTTACGAGCTTAAGCTATTTATGATAAACAATTGCAGTTTCCTGTTACAGTTTGCAATCATTCTAGAAAGAAAAAAAAGGGTAATTTAGATTTATTTCCTAATTTGATATTGTGGTTATGAGGCCAGTCAAATTGACAGTGAAAGGATTAAACAGAACAGTACCAGTGTTATTTTATATCTGAACTAATACTGACTAGTAGTTTTACACCAGAGCTTCTGGTTCTTACCTCTATTGTACAGTACTAATGGTTGTTAACATTCTTATTTTTTAATGTTCAACATCAAAATTTATAAAATAGTACAAGTAATAAATGTTTTTGCTACTTATGGTAGGACTGGATCGATTATACAATTTTCTGAACATGCATATAACTTCAAGCCCATTAAACGTCAATGATGTGTGCTATTGGGAGATGTATCACATTCAGCCAAGAGATTCCAAACAATAGAGAGATGTATCACATCCAATCAAGAGATTCCAGACGATAGGAGAAGTATCACATCCAATCAAGATATTCCAACAATAGAGAGATGTATCACATCCAATCAAGAGATTCCAGACAACAGCAAGATGTATCGCATCCAGTCATAAGATTCCAGACAATAGAAGATGTATCACATTCAATCAAGAGATTCCACACAATAGGGAAATGTATTACATCCAATCAAGAGATACCAGACAATAGAGAGATGTATCACATCCAATCAAGAGATACCAGACAATAGAGAGATGTATCACATCCAATCAAGATATTCCAGACAATAAAAAAAGGAAAGAAAACAGCTTTTTTTAGAGGAAGGAGTGGTTGAGGATACCTTAGGATCTCATAAACATTGATTTTAAGCATGCAGCATCGTAGCAGGGCAATCCTTGCTGCTCGAGATGTCCATAACTTCATTTATACAATAAATGTCATACACTGTAAGAAACATAAATTTGTCTGTGTCAAATGTTCATCTAAAACATAAGGTGAATGACCGATCACTTGCATTTCAGATAGAGTGCTCTGATAGATCATTAAATGTTTGGTTTGCAAAAGCATTAACTGAAAAGGGGAGTTTGATTTTATTTTAGAATAGTGGCTTTGTCTTTTCAGAATGAAACTCTTATTAGTTCCAATTATCCTTCAGTTATTTTTTGCAGTGTATTACACATTGTGAAATAGCAGTAATTGGTTTGTTAGTTAACACCTTATTTTTAGTAGACCAACAATAGTTACGTTCAGTATTTATTACTAATGATTATTAGGACAGCTTTTATACTTCACGTGTATCTAATTTCAATTTTTCTTACTGCAGGAGTTCTATCAACATACAGAAGCCTTGTGGAAAGATAAAGGTGTACAAGCTGCTTATGAGAGGTCCAATGAATATCAGCTAATAGACTGTGCAAAATAGTAAGTTCTTTTTCAAGGTTAACAATGGGGTTTTTGAAAAGACACCAAAAATTTTAAGATCAGTGAAAGTAAAAAAAAACCTGTTATCTTAACATTATGATTTTCTGACCTATATTAACAATTTGTCAGTAGATGCCAGCAATGCATAGCTCAGATGTAAATCACAACTGATACGATTCACCATCTGAATAATGGGGGGATAGACAAGGTCATATTTTACAGTGATAATGTTTTTGCAAACTGACCATTAATGTTCTCCATATGGTATATACCTCACCTCTGATAAAAATTATTGATTGAAGAAAATGCCAATATTCCGCCTGTTAAATACATAATGAAGCAAACTTTAAAGCGTGATTTTAATGAATATTGGAAGTGTGTATTTACATCCATCTTTTTAGCTTCCACGTATAAAAAAAAAATGCATTTAACACTGACTACCATGCCCTCTTTAAACTCCTTTCTCAGCATGCCATAAAGTTTTACTGAGTTATATTCAAAATTTAATTAAGCCACTTTATTATCAATGTATTGTAATGAAATTAGCATTATCATGTATGTTATAATCCAAAGTTTTATATAATCTAAGTTTTAATTCCTTTATATCAAAAAGAAACCTTAAAGAAAAATACTTAAAGTTCAGTTTTGTTGGCATGTGACGCATGAGCAATCACAGATCTTAACTTTTTTGTCTCTGTTATGTACGTGTATATCAAGACTGAATTCTACTTGTACAACACTTTTTACAGTGCAAATTCCTTTGGGTCAATTGAAAGATGCTTTAAGTAGTAGTGTGTAGAAAGCTCTAGGCCTCAGTTGGCTATTAATAAATATGCATACAAAATGTGATAGGAAGTTAAGGAAAATACACCAAGAGTTAGACTGGGTGAGTTTAACCATAAAGAGTGTATAGTGGTAACTTTTAAAGTGTAATAATTACAGATTGGATTGTAATAACAGAGTAGAGAAAAATAATTTGTCTTGTCAATTGAGTTCTAATGTAACTGAACCAGCCTGTGTGGACTTTTGATGAAAAAAAGAGAATTATTTAAAGCTCTGGATTCAACTGTGGTGATTAACTGTGTAATGAACATTTGTATGTACACGTTTGACTTGTTTTAATATATTATTTTAAAACAAGTGGAATGTGTGCTGTTTGTTTATTGTTGAAATTTATTGCCAACAAGTTACAGTCACCTACTGTAAAAAACTGTGGCCTTGTACAACCTGACATATATAAGGAAAGGCCCTGTCTGATTTGTTAAAATCAGAGGTTAGTTACTAGGGTTATTATTAGGTGTGAAAATCAAAATCAGGTTCCTTAGATAAGGAAAAATATACAAGTGGAAGAAAGTATTTCAGTGATAGGTGTCAGTGCTGTCATTTTTGTTAATTTTCTGTGAAAGTGTAAGCTAGCTTTTACAATTTTTTGTGTACCTGATAATAATATTTGATAATGAACTCAGATCTTTATAATTTATTACACATACCATGCACATACATCATATTTATAATATAGTCAGAAAAAAGTAATGAATATCTTGTGTGTGTGTGTGTGTGTAAGTATAGAAATATATTGCAGAAAACATGTTCTGCACATTAAATATTTATTTTAACTTAATATCTTTATAAATATGCTTAGTAAACCAAAATTAAATGTTTTTTCAAGCCAATCCTACCCATTCTAGGCTGCAGTAACATTTATTATATTTTTATTTGATCTTTTTTCTTTCATTTTTACATGAAGAATTACAAAAAGTCAAGGCTTTATCTCTTCTTACCCAGTATAAACTACTGTTGATCATTAGTGTCAGTTCTTGAAATATACGAAATGTACCAATCAGCCCCTTGTGGGCCCTTAATATAGTGATTTAGTAAACACTGGTACATTAGTTTGTGCACAAGCATTAACAATAAAGTCTTTATAGCGTTAAACAGTAAACTACATCCATGCTAACAAAATACTGTTCAAGTTGCTTGTACAATGCCTAGAAAATAATATACAAAAAGGTTGTGAAAGTTTCCTTAGTTTCACAATTTCTGAAGTGTGTATATTTATTTTCTTATTGGATATTCACATTGACCTTTCATATTTACAGTGGATCTGTAAATGAATACATCTGTTACATTTACAGTTCATTGCAAAACAATTTTACATATTTTCTGTTATTTGTCATTACACAACTTTTCATGCATGCTGAGTAGTTAGTTCTGAAAAAAAATGTATCACTAACTTATTGGTACTCTATAAGCTGTTGCATAAGCACTCGTGAATCTTAAGAAGCAGCAGGAACATTATATGAAGTTTTCTCTTACTATTGGGTTATAAAAAATATTCATCTGTAACTCTCAGTGGTGACAAACTCGTTTTAATACTCATTTCTACAAAGGTTGTATGAAAGCATTTAAAATCATATGTAAATCATATGCTATCTTTTTGTATCTCCTGCCATAAACAACTGCATCTGTGTTGATTTCCATGGAATATAGTAGTAGTTGCACTGTATCCTCACATGAAATCGATCCTCTCATTTTACATATTACTACAAAGTTATAAGCTGTCAACCATCAATTATGTTCCTTTATCCAGTCCATGCTGACTGACTATTTGTATTAATCTCTTTTTGATGTTGATTTTCTAATGAAAGAAGACAATCTAGATTGAGGCAACTGTGTATCATAGAGGGTGATGAGAAAGAAAAATAAATAAATACTGGCCCCAGATCTCAACAACCTAACCTTCCAGAGGAAATATACAACACCAAGAAAGATGAACTATTAAGTGGTCACTCTTTTAGCCATTTCATTCTTTTGCTTCGGAGCCGACAATTACACATGCATTAAATGATAGTTCTGTAGCAAGAATATACAGAGCTTTTATATAACATTTTACTGTATGATTAGCACTTTTGATTTCTCATGATACCTACCATAAGAGCACTTTTCGGACATAGATTTGCACGATTTAGATTCCCAGTCACAGTTCACATGCAATTATCTCAATTACGCATCTCCTAACTTGCTCAGAATCCTTCAACAATGATATTAGACTCATTGGCATTTAAGGTGTCATCCCAGTTCCTCTAATATTTATCCTGCTGTTTTCCTTCTGTTCATATTTGTCATGTTCAAACACAGAAACATTTATTTCATACTCCAAGAAATAATTTTTTTTTGTATTTTTTCCAGTAATAACTGCACACTCAGATTTTGGCATAACTCACACAACTTGTGCGTGCATTCTCTGTTCTTAAACCTAAGGTTTTATGTTCTAGAATAAAATTTACACCTATGGTTTGTTGTGGACTGACAATGCCTGACCACCAAGGAAGTGTGTGGCATTGCAAAAAGCTATTTACATTATTTTACAAACAAATTCAACATTGTAGCCTACAAACCACAGCCAAGGGAACGGGCTTTGAAAGATCAGCCATTTCATTCTTTTGCTTCGGAGCCGACAATTACACATGCATTAAATGATAGTTCTGTAGCAAGAATATACAGAGCTTTTATATAACATTTTACTGTATGATTAGCACTTTTGATTTCTCATGATACCTACCATAAGAGCACTTTTCGGACATCATTGTAACATAGGTATTATTAGCCAGGCATGGCTAAAAGGTCAATATAATAAAAATAATAAATATATATAAATGTATAATGTTATGAGATTTAAGCTATTTAGTCTAAACATCTGTACTTTTGTGTTATGATTTGTAGTTATTCTAGAATGAAAAAGGCATAACTTATATTTATTTCCTAATTTTTATAACATGGTTACGAGATCAGTCAGATAGACCAAACCCTTACAGAGATTCACAACATTACATACACTCTATATTGCTAATAGGTGTTATAGCTTAAATCTCATAACATTATACATTTATCTATATTTATTATTTTTATTATATTGACCTTTCAGCCATGCCTGGCTAATATAAATTA